TGGGGAAGTGCTGCCTACCCTTTCACAAGTTCTAGAGAAGAAGCTCTATGGAAGGAAGAGACCTGGAGACTTGAATTGCTAGTAGATGGCATTGATCAAGAAATTTTGAACTGGGTAAGCATATATTCTGACAATCAATACACTTTTTTTCTCCTTTTTACCACTCATGAGGTCGAGTTGTTGTTTTTCTACTAGCATATGTGTGTTTGTGTGTGTAAATATATATATATATATATATATATAATTCAGCCTTTCCTTAGGAATGTCATGAAAGGCTTAATACCACAGTTCCAATCCAAAAGCATAATGCTGCTATCTCAATGATTAAAATAGTACAGGACTAAATGAGCCAATCAAATTTTAACAGGAAAAATGTCAAGTATGGCCACTAATTCAGGTGGAGAAATGAAATGTTACTATGTGTAGTTATGACAGCACACTGCGGTCAATGCACTTACTATGTTTTCTGAAACACTGTATATTAACTAAATTTATCCATGTTAACTACATGAAATGGGTCTCGCTCTATTTAATGTAGAATGTGTTACTAATGTTAAGAAAAATAACAAATGCCAATTTCTGATTGCGCAGATTAAGGATGGAAAATACATTTTCTTGTTTGGGGGGGATGATCCTGAATGGGTAAGAAGATTTGTGAAGGAAGCCCGCAGGGTTGCAATGGCTACACAAATACCCTTAGAGATGGTATATGTTGGGAAAAGCAACAAAAGGGAGCAAGTGCAGAAAATCATCGACACAATAATTCGTGATAAACTGAACACTCAATATTGGTCAGAGCAGAGCATGATATGGTTCTTCTGGACTCGTCTTCAGAGTATGCTGTTCTCCAAGCTTCAACTGAAGCAGACCGATGACGACGACCATGTGATGCAGGAAATCAAGAAGCTTCTGAGCTATGACAAACAGGGGGGATGGATTGTTCTTGCAAGAGGGTCTCACATTGTGGTAAATGGGCATGCCACAACCGGGCTCCAAACCCTGGTGGAGTTTGATTCCGTGTGGAAAGATCATGCTGACAGGGAAGGGTTTGAACCAGCTTTTAAGAATCACTATGACAAAGTTCATTCCGTTGTTAGTCCTTGCTGCAGATTTGAATTCTCTCATGCAATGGGGAGAATCCCAGAGAGGCTCACGTGCCCTGAGTGTCGCCGCAACATGCACGTGCTCACCACCTTCCAGTGCTGCCATGATGAAAAAATTGACGAGGACTTTTTTGTCAGCACCGTAACTCCTCCCACCAATTGATCAATCATTCTTCACTCACTATTGCTGCTTGTGTTTTTCTCAAATTTCAACCACAGCCTTGTGTCTTTACTACTACATGTGTTTGTTCTTTTTATCACATATTAATGTAATAAAGTGTACGGTGAGGTTTGGTCTCCCCACTGTGTGATGAGAAATTATTATGACTTTTGTCCCAAGTTTGGATGATCAATAAAGATACAATTTCATTTACTTCTCGTAATACAATCTTCATCATGTTTTCGTTTTTAGAAAATGCCGTAAACAACAATGATTAGGATAAAAAGTATTTTTAATATTTTTATAGAAATTGAGAAAAAATATTTTCAAAATTTTCTTACTTATTTAAGCATAGTTTTATTTTACTTTTTTAAAGATTTTGAAATTAAGTACACTTTGTCTAAATTCACTCTAGGTAGTTATAATCTTGAAGCTTTACTTGGATCACAAAGAAGTGTACTAAACAAATCAGGAATTGGCTATACCGATAAAGACAGTAAATTGAAGACTAGAAAGTTCATTAACATTAGTAAACCCTCATCTATAGTATGTTTTTACTGCAATCATATTGGTCATCTATCAAAGGGTTGTTACTATAAAAACTTTAGTGTGTCTAAAGGTTAATTTAAATAGATTTCTAAAGAATCACCACTGTAACGCCCCAAATTTTAGGGTGTCACATGTTATTACAAAAACTGGTAATTTTCAAAACTTTCTTATTGTGAGAAAACATATTTTCAAAAACATCGGCATTTAAATTTACATTGCATAATAGTTTGAAAATACTAGTTCAATTGCATTATTTAAATAAATATGAAATTAGGAAGAAAATAAAATAACTTCAATTACATTGTCTTAAAAACTCAATTACAATAGCTTTAAATAAAACCTCAAGTTTGTCCCTCATCATCTCAAGGATCTATCATGCTTTATCTTCATTTGTAGCATCATCTGCTCCCTATAACATCACATATTATACATCACATTCACATACACAAACACAAACATGTATGGGTAACTTACCGATAAAACAATCATAATAATAAGATACATACATACTAATTATATCAACAATAATCAAACACCTCCTACATAAAAGTAATAATAAAAGGATTCCTAAACCTCTAACCCAACAATCAATCACGATAAATTACTAAATCCTCGAAGCCCGATCCTTGATCCTCGATCATCACATATCTAGACTGCACTTTATTCGTTCACCAGCTCATATGTTGTTTACACCACATAATCCCATTACTATCAATATAGCATTTCTTGGAGCATCATTGTCATAGATACACCACACTCATGACTATCCCAGTCAAAAACAACATTGCGATCATCACTGTACCATAATATCATAGTGGAAAGAGTCCATCTCACTTTTGTACCCTACCTCACCGATTGTAGCCGCTCCTACAACCCACTTGTAGCCTCCCTTATAGGACATTTGTAGCCTTCCCTACATATCATCTCCTTCCAATGCACACAAGACAAAAGGAAGCACTTATCCGCAAATAGAACCAAGATTTACGAGATACACCAAGTAGACTTATCCTCCACTCTTATGACATCAATCACATACTCAAGTACATCCCAACACTCACTCATGCTCCACTCTCAACCACAAGTCAAGCTGACCCTAAGCATAACCATTAACCTCAACCTCTGATTATCATCATGTTCCATAGCTCCTTAGGCTTGGCACGACCATTCTTCATCAAATACGCCATTTTTCACCAAAATGCACTGTGATCATCGATCATCGCTTAAGATAATCGATTCGTTACTACCCAAATCACCCATGAGTAAAATCAAAGCAACACACCCAAAGAACCACACCTATAGTGGTAGAGAACTTTACCCCTCATGCATAAGTTACACCACCAAAAACCCCACTATTTAAACCAAATAATGTGATCTAGGAAATACACAACATCTACAATCACAACGATATAGATTTATTTCCCCTTACAACATTATCATAAATTGATCAATGCATTCATAATAATACCAACATGAACACTAAATCACCAATATAACATTTATATCATAGTAGTTAAGTCCTTATTACAATTCCATCACACCAAACAACATCAATTCATAATAACACTATAACAACCAATGTGATAACCACACCTATATTCCCTTAAACGAAATCATGTTCAACCCATTAGCTCTACACCGTATGTCAATTTAAGACAACTTGTGTTTATCCAACCATCATCATAAATGTATGTCAACTTTCATACTTCACCGTATCATTCTTGTTTATCAAAACAAGATGATTCTAGTGGTACTCCACTGCAGTTTTGGACATGTCTCCCATGTTCCCAACTGTTCACCCCAACACTAAACTCAACATGAGTCGAAACCCTTCGGGCAAGACCTCCATCCCTTTCTACCCTCTCGCAAGAGGAAAAAGCAACACTCGAATCTCAGTCCCTTCTAGCGCCCCTCCAGGACTAAGAGACTTATCTCTTCCACCGCTACTTAAAGACGAAGAGATCCACCTTTCTACCCTCTCGCTAGAGGAAAGGTGACTACCTTTCTACTCCTCGAAAGAGAAAAGAACAAGACTCGAATCTTAGTCCCTTCCACCGTCCATCATGGACGAAGAGACCCATCTCTTCCACTGCCCTCATGGACGAAGAGACTCATCTCTTCCACTGCCTTTTAAAGACGAAGAGATTCATTTCTTTTACCGCATTTTAAAGACGAAGAGATCCACCTTTCTACCCTTCCGCAAGAGGAAAAGTGACTACCTTTCTACCCCCTCGAAGAGGGAAAGAGCAGCACTCAAATCCTAATCCCTTCCACCACCTATCATGGACGAAGAGACCCATCTCTTCCACTACCCTCATGGACGAATAGACTCATCTCTTCCACCGTCTTTTAAAGATGAAGAGATTCACCTTTCTACCCCCTCGAAAGAGGAAAGGTCACTACCTTTCTACCCCTCACAAGAGGAAAGGTGACTACCTCTCTACCCCCTCGCAAGAGAAAAGGTACAACCTCGAATTAACTAAGTATAGCCAGAAAATCATACTTAAAACATACCCACCATCACACCATATGGTTGGTTCAAACCGTGACTCTCTCACTAAGCTAATCAATTATAACAGAAAACCATTATCGTGCTTCTCGTAACCCATCCTCTTCCCCTGCCTCACACAGGTGAAAGAGAGACCCTAACTTTAAGGGTATCACCACCACCATGCTGGATCACTTCCTACTCTTAAACAACATCACGTAAGAATGGATAATAGATTATCATCCCAAATAATCAACTATTTCCGAAATCACACTCAAAACCAACGCATAAATAATCGATTCGTAGAGTATTTTTTACTCCAAAGAGAATTTTAAAACATACACAAGAATCAAATAAAACACTAAGCCCTACATAAAAACAACTTATTACAAAAACTTTTATACATAATACAAGTCTTCATAAAAATCCTCTTACAAAATAAACATTTGAGACTTAATATGTATATCATCAAAACTTTTATGCTTCAAAACTTTTATGCTTCAAAAGGTTGTTATCAATTACAGTGCTTCTATTTTTTATTTTTTTGGGTAACGTTCTATTTATTTATTTATAGTAAGGTTTATTTCAACCGTTTCAATATACATCAAATCTCTTGTTTTGAAAGTATGATAAAATATATAAATACTCTAGTAAACATTTTTAATATTATTTTTAATCTTTTATATTATGCTAGTTAATATCCTTAGTTAGTCATTGTCTAGTCTATTTTATTGCACTGAATTATGTTGATACTCATAATTGACTTTCATGAAATACAATCAAGAAACAATTTCCTTCCCGAAACTAATTCTTGTAGATTTTTGTAGAATGAATTTACACCGATAAAGGAAAAAAAACATTTGAATTTTCTGTATCAAGTTTGGTGGTTAGAATGGAGCTAAATAAAAGTTCCACATAGATTGGATCAAACGACTGCTCTTAAAACTAAAGTTACTTCTTGATCTTCCAGTTATGGGATGTGCGGGGTCCGCTTGCGATGCCTTCATAGTAGTGTGAATCAAGTTTTCCTTTATTCCAAGCTTTGACAAAATCTGTAAACAACTCACGTGCTGACTCGGACAACAGATCAGAGAAAAACACATTTTTCTCTTCCTTTAGCCAGGCAGCGAACTCATTATTCTTTGCAAAATAGTCATCCTTTGACAATTGTAGGAATTCCTACATCCAAAGTAGCCAAGATGAAACCTAAATACCAATGAATCAATATATAAATAATTTCAATAACTACTCCTATCAACTAAAAGCACATAACTTGATCAATATAAGCCAATTGACAAGATATCAGTTTCAGCCTTATAATAGAAGGCCAGGACGTATGTTGAATAGAGTGGTCAATCCTAAAAGTTATCAATAATTTGATAATTATACAATTCAACTAAATAAAGTCATTAAAATAAGGGAAACAAACACTGTTGGACTGTTAGACGTTGCAGCATTAACCTTTTTTTTTCTACATTTGTTTCTCTTTCTAATAATATAAAAGCTTTCCCTACAACATAACAGTGAAATTTTGTAGAAAAAACAATGCGGTAAAATGTGAGGGTAGAAGAATAAATTTAATAGAAACAACTCTTGAAATGAAAAGCATAAATGAAAAAAATGAAAGGGTGAGGTCCCAGATACAACTTGATAGTAATACAATGTTATTTTGCATGTAGCACAACTAATGATATTGGCAATACAACTTACCGTATGGGCATCACCTTTTCTATGCTTGTTTCTGCGCTTATCTTTCGACTTCCCTGAAATAACAACAAACTGTGGATTTAATTTGCCATGAAAAAGAAACCCATTTGAAAAAGGGGAGTAAATTAACCAGAACTCTAGTCGATAAAACAACCAAAGTTAATGCTCATCTAACATAATATTAAGCAATAATGACTGGAAAAATCGTAACAGAGAGGAAGAATATGACCATCTTCACTTCACTTGGGTTAAAATGTAGGCATTCAACTATTTAGAAAGAAAATATTTCTAAGAAAAATTTCTAGTTTTCTCACCATTCATCAGCGGAGCAATTGTTTTACGGAGAGTTACCAAGCTATGAGAAACAAATTTTAGCCAAAATTTGTTTTCTTAAAAATTGAAGCATTTTTTAAGAAAAGGTGATGAAGTACCATACACATACAGCAGCACTACGTAGAGCCACTGATACCAATAATTCGTGCGTTGTTTCTCTCAAAAATCAATTTGGCAAATTCAACTCAAACACATACAATATTAACGTAGGACAAACCGCACACATGGCAGGAAGAAAGATCTTTGGAACGCTTAAAAATAATAAGGAATATGGAAGAAGTAAGGGTGATATACTAAGAAATGAGGAATAAAAGTAAAAGAAGAATCAATAAACAACTTCGATCATAAATTCAGTTTTGCAAATCCCTAAGAGCAATGGTCAATAAATCATGATATACAAAGTTTTTATTTGAAAGTGTTAGGATATAGGATGATAGAATAGATGGGTTTAGAAGTTAAGGGTATGGGGGTGTCGGTTTTAAAGGGTGGAGCGGGTCAGAGTTGCTATAAATAGAGCTTTTGTAACTCTATAGGGGGTATCGAATATACTGTGTAAAGTCAGGCATTTTAGCTTGTAGAGAGGGGTTATGCCCTCAGCCAAGGAGGTTATGCTCCCAACTCATTCTTGTAAAGAGGTCTCTTTTACTGTGAATAATACAAAAAACCCATTTTTTCTTTCTGTCTCCATCTTTTGATTGAGTTCTTGTTGGATTCCAAATCCAGGAACCTAACAAATTGGTCCGACCTGCCGTTTCGAAGTGAAAGGGTGAAGGATCAAGAAGTAATCAAGAAACTGCCGGATCCGAATTGGGTGTGAAGCAAAGATGGAGGGGAGCACAAAGAGACGATTGGAGCCTCTGGAGATTACGATGGAAGGGATGCAGGCGGAATCCGCCACACTGCGTCAGGACTTGCAAAAATTAATGAGGATAATGGGGGCGCAAGCTTACAACAACGAAGAACAATCAGGTGGAAGTCAGATTTCCGTAAATGACAACCAGCGCCGACGCGATGAGGATATTGGAGTGAGCATGGATGGCGATCATCCGGAGGGGCAGAATAAATGGTGGAAGAGGGGTGAATTACCCACTTTCGAAGGGTTGGACCCGTTAAACTAGATCAATAGGGCGGAGAAGTTTTTCAAGTTTCAAGGAGTAGCGGAGGAGGAGAAAGTGCGACTCGCGTACATAAGCATGGAGGGCAGCGTGGGTTACTGGTTCAGAGCCTGGAAGGAGAAAGCCAAGAATCGTTCTTGGGATGGTTTGAAGGAAGCCCTGGTGATAAGGTTTGGAACCTACATTGAGCGTTTGGCAACATATAAACAAAAGGGGACGGTGAACGAGTCTGTACAAGACCTCAAGATTTTGGCGGGGAGCGGGTCAGAAGACGAGTCATTTGGGGGACGAACACGAGGAGCGGTTACCGAGCGGTACGAGGCCAAGTACTGTAGACCAGACCGATTGGGATTAGCCGAGCGGTCCGAGACCTATTCCTATAACCCATGCCGATTGAAAGTTACCGAGCGGTTAGAGGCCGATTGCCATAATCCAGGACAATCGTTCGGTCCAGGCCATAAGTGGCCAGAAAAGAGTCGAGGGACGTTTATTTTGGGGGAGGATGAAGAGGTGGAGACTGAGGAAGCTGAGACCGAAATAGACCGGAAGCAGATGGAGATGTCCGCTTTCTCGGCTGGAGGCCTCACTCAGCCAAAAATGATAAAGCCGAACGGTTTGATAGGGGGTCGAACGGGTATGGTTTTGACCATTAAAGGACGAAACCGAACGGTGTTGCCCATTATAGGACGAAACCAAACGTTGTTGACCAATATAGGACGGAACCGAGCAGTATTGACTAGGGTGTTCAATCAAGGAGGGAAGAAGGTATTCAGCAAGGCGGATCCAACACTAGCTAGAAGGTGGGGGGAGCCAGAAGCTTTGTTAAAAATAAAGGAAGTAGGACCGTGGACCTTGGTGTGGGATTTGGGGGTGATAGGAAGGAAAGAGGAAGAATGGAAGATAATGGAGGAGGAATTGCCACCACCTAAGCCTCCCGACCTGAATTGGTGGGCAGTAGCCAGTGGATTCTCTTCAGATGATAACAAGATGATGAAGAGGAGCCAAGAGACCAAATTTTACGGTTCCAACCTTGAGGACAAGGTTGTTCTGCAGCGGGGTGTAATGTTAGGATATAGGATGATAGAATAGATGGGATTAGAAGTTAAGGGTATGCGGGTGTCGGTTGTAAAGGGGGGAGCGGGTCAGGGCTGCTATAAATAGAGCTCTTGTAACTCTGTAGAGGGTATCGAATATACTTTGTGTAAAGTCAAGCATTTTAGCTTGTAAAGAAGGGTTATGCCCTCAGCCAGGGAGGTTATGCTCCCAACTCATTCTTGTAAAGAGGTCTCTTTTACTGTGAATAATACAGAAAACCCATTCTTTCTTTCTGTCTCCATCTTTTGATTGAGTTCTTGTTAGGTTCCAAACCCAGGAACCTAACAGAAAGCATGGTAATTAATGCATTGATAACATTAAATGTTACATTTTGAAATAGACTTACCATTTTAAATTTCCTAATGGTTGCTGATAGCACCAAACACAGAAATAGAGACAAAGGTAAAATAATTTGTCATTGCTCACTCTGTCTAAACGGAACATAGGAAAAGAAAAAAAAATTGTACAGGTCATATACTCTGACCTCACTCCCAATTTCCCAAAATTTCCCAAACCCCCTACACGTGCTCCCCCTCTCCTCTATATTCTCCCTTTCCCTCTCCCTCCAAAACCGAGAAAGAATCTTTCTGTTAGGATCATAATAACTGGGTGTGTGCATATGGTCCCTAGAGAATGGGTTTCCAGTTCTTTCTTTTATAGACCTTAATGAACTTCCCTTTTTGCCCTTTTTCATTTAAACTTGTATTCGTATCAACTCCATCCTCCATAATTTTTACCTTGTCCTCAAGGTGAAGTTCTGGAAAGTAATTTCCCATCTTTTGTAGATATTCCCATGAATCTTCACACGATGGCATACCCTTCCATTTCACTAACACCTCAGCATTTTCTCCCTCTCCTCCCCTAACTGCTTAAATCTCTTCTGGTTGCATTTCCAACTCCCAATTTTCAATTATACACAAAGGAAGTGGTTGCACTGTTACTTTTGTTGACACAATTGGCTTTAATAAAGAAAGATGAAAAACTGGATGGACCTTGCTTCCTTCTGGCAACTTCAATTTATAAGCTACCTCTCCCACTCTTTCAATGATTTCACAGGGCCCATAATATCTCTTACACATCTTTTGATTAATTCTCTTGGCTAATTTTTTTAGCTTATAAGGTTGGATCTTCAAGTAAACCCAATCCCTTATCTTGAATTCCATCTTTCTTCTATGTTTGTCTGCCTGTTGCTTCATGTGGTTTTGAGCTTACAATAAGTGGTCTCTGAGTTCAGTTAACATCTCATTCCTCTCTTGTAACATGGAGGTCACTTCTTCCATGGGAGAGACTGGCACATCTCCTCGTACCACCAGAGGGGGATCTCGCCCATAAAGGGCCCTGAAAGGAGTCATTTTTGTAGCTTCATGGTAATTGGTATTGTACCAAAACTCAGCCCAACTCAACCATCTATGCCACTATCAGGTTTTGTCCTTGTCATGCATGAGATAAGTCTCCAAGAAACTATTCACCACCTTTGTTTGACCATCCGTTTGAGGATGGTAAGCTGAGCTAAATTTTAATTTAGTCACGACCAATTTGAACAACTTTGTCTAGAAAGAACTCATGAAGACCTTGTCTCTATCTGAAACAATTGATTCTGGAAATCCATGAAGTTTTACCACTTCCTTTAAGAACAGTTCAGCAACTTCTTTAGCACTATAAGGGTGTGCTAAGGCTAAAATATGTGCATATTTGGTGAACCTATCCACCACCACTAGAACTGTATCCATTCCTCCCGACTTAGGTAATCCCCCCACAAAATCCATGGATATGTCCGTCCAAATTTGTTTGGGAGTTGGAAGAGGTTGTAGCAACCCTGCTGAACTAAAAGTTTGATACTTATTTCTTTGGCAGGTCTCGCATCCTCTTACATAATCTTGGAACATCTTCCTTATTCCCTCCCAATAGAATAGGTTAGATATTCTTTTGTAGGTCCTGAAAAATCCGGAGTGACCACCTATGGCAGTATCATGGAATTCCTTCAAGATAGATTTGATCTTTGGAGAGTGTTTAGGAATGACCAACTTATCTTGGTAATATAACTTACCCTTTTGCACCTTATACTCTAGATGGTTCCCTTCATTCACTGTCACCTCTTGGAGGATCTTCCTCAGTTTATCATCATTCTCTACTTCAATCTCAAAGTCTTCCCATTCATTGAATTGAACTATGTTAATGGCTGAAAATTGCAGTTTTCAAGATTAAACATTTGTTGCCTTATTTTCCAGCCCTGTTTTGTATCTTATTTCAAAGTCGAACCACATAAGCTTGGATATCCACTTGTGTTATCCCTCTCCCATTAATTAGCCAAGAATTTTAGATTCCTTTGATCTGTGTGCACAGCTTCTCTCCGATTAGCTTATGGGGGGTGTTTGTCACACGTCACCTTTCCGGTGTCGGAATCACATTGCGACACTGTCGTTCGTCTCATCGAACCTCCCTCTCTCCGTTCTGAACCTCCATAGCAGCCATGGTAAATAATTGGGAAATCCTAATTTCTCTCCAAAACCCTAAAATTAAAAATCCCTAAATCTCTTTTTGATTTCGTTCTGCAAGCAATTCCAAGGAGACCTTCGTCATATTTTTCCTGTTCTCACCCTGTGAATGTTTCTAGGG